AATATAATCTTGCAATGATTGGATATCATTTGGGCACTTTATAAAGATGCTCCATCATATATATCTTAAATAATCTCTAGATGCCTTTCATATATATCTTCCCTTAACGCACCAGAAATACTGGTAATTTTGGTGATGTGACTTCTCAAGATTACTAAAAAATATTATGTACCATCTATACTTTTTTATTAATTATCTTAACATAAAAATTGCATGTGTAATGGATTTTTATAGAGCAAAACCAAATTAATTATGTGATAACAAAATCATTTTTTTAAGCAAGTGCACTCTAGCGTAACATTATTATGCCACTCATAAGTTGGACTCCTTACAATTACCACAACGTAAAACATCTCATTTGTTCTTATATACAATATATATATATATTCTAATAACTTACCATCCTTTTATTTGACAAAAAAATTCATTGAAAAAACATATGTTAAATAAATCACTACAATATAACCATAACTCAGCAAATCTTAATAAGTATCTTAACTTGACAAAAAAGAAACACTACAACATAATCATAACTCTCTAAATCTCAATATATATATATATAATCCAGTTCAATCTATGACATACCGCTTGACCTTTTCGATTAATCTAAAATACAAAATATTAAGTTCAATATGCTCTTCTAAAATGATTTATTCCCTAAACCTCCCATTTCATGATTTTTAAAGTAGCACTATATAATTCATCTTTAATTAAGATCTTATCAATTTAAATTTATATTAATGCATCTAAGTATATAAAAGTATTTAAATCTTTTATCTCAATAATTAACTATTTTATATCTTTTTTCCTCAGTTTAGTATCTAGCCTAACAGATATATTATTAGATGTTTTTCATTGCTTTCTTTATTGGCAAGTTTTCTATCTTCAATCAAATAATTATAAAACTTTATATTATTTAGACTTTTTCTATTTTGCATAATTAAATAATTATAATTTTCCTCTATTAACAATATGTCTTAAAACCTTAATAACTACGTATCTTCCAAGTTCAACCAAGTGTTTTTTCTATATGCTTTATACTCCTAATATCTACTTCCAAAAGTATTAATCAATGATGTGTGGTCAAACTTTCACCTTAAGTAAACTCTCTTTGCAGAAAGAGTTTTTTTTTTCCTTACACAAAAAATAAGTCTAATTACGATTTGGTACATCTATTTATAAAAATAACTAGATGTTCTTCTCATTTTAAGCATTAGCTCACTATTGCAAAATGAAGTATACTTCTCCCATCACATTTTTATCTACTATGTCATACATAAAATGAATCCCCTCAGAGCCTATATTGCTAGAATCTATAGGACAAGAAAAGTCTCACATAATAAGTGTCCTCTCTTCTTGAAGCATTAATTGTAAAATTTCATTCATCTCTTCCTAACAAAAAAATCAAAATATTTTTTAATCCAACTTGAGGAGTAAGCACTACAATATTTTTCATTATCATCATTGTTAAATGACTTGATAGTAATCACCCTATCACTAACCATATGCATCTAAAAAATTTATCTTTCAACTCTATCTCAACCATCCTTTCACATTCTGATTGTTAACTTTTGTAATATATAATAACTTATAACCTCATTCAATGTCCTTTCATTTCTTCCCTTTCTATTAAACTTAGTGTAAATAATTAGTCATATTTACTCTTATTTTAAATGTAAGTTCACAAAAATTCTTGCATTGCCTTTCCATGTAGCAAAAATCAAATTTTAATTTTAAATCTAATCAACCCTTACGCATTTTAACCACAAGCAATTTAAGTTGTGGCATCCAAGCAACCTTTGTCTAATTTTCATCACAATCAAATTAAATTATGACGTCACTTATGAGTGACATCCTAGTAAAGCCCTTAATTATCTACTTATAAAATCTCTCTCCAATAGAGTAAAGTCATGGCAATCACTTCAAGGGAAAACCTTTATTTAATACCTTCTCTAATGTATATTCATTTTTTTTTCCTTTCAATTTAATTTATTTTAGATAAGTAATATTTGCTGTTCTTTTGAGCATATTTTAACTCATATTCTTGTCTTACTTTTCCATGTAGCAAATCTAACATTTTCTTAAAATCGAACCAATCCTTAAGCACTTTAACTACATATAGTTATGTTATGGCCTCCAAGCCAACCTCTGCCAGGTTTTCACAATAATCAAGTTAAGTTGCATCTTATTTCTGGGTAGCATCCTAGCAAAGCCTTGCTTGGTTACTTCTCAAATCTCACAGCAATAATGTACTAACAAAATTCAACTTTAGGTACATTTCATAATCTTGCCATGAGTTTATTGATTATTTTTCAATTAAAAGCTAACCCTAAACCCTTTCCACTCATGCATGAGACTCTATCTATAAAATACTTCATTCCAAGTTATATTCTAAGACATGACAAAATATTGATTGAAAATTTTAAACAAATTCTGAAATATCATTTCTCAAATATACTAAAAATAATTTTCTAAATTGTATCAGAAAATATTTTTCTGTTTTAGTTGGATTTCATCAAGGATCATCCTTAAGCCCATACTTTTTTGCTTTAGTCATGGATGTTCTCACTAGACATTTGCAAGAGGTTATACCCTGATGTATGCTTTTGGCTGAAGATATTCTTCTTGTTGATAAGATACACAACTCATCTTGGTTTGTTGGTTGTGAGCTTAGGCTACCAACTAAGAGGTCTTGGGTTCTAGTCTTGTGCATGCAATGTGTGTGTGAGTCTGCCTTTATTGGCAAAAATGTCCAAAAAAAAATCTTCTTGTTGATAAGAATAGAGAGGGAGTTAAGGGTAAACTTGAATTATAGAATTATGGAGGACAATCATAAAGTCTAAAACCTTTCGTTTGAGTAGATCTAAAATTTAATATATAGAATATAATTTTAGTAATAATAGTTCCAATGGGGGATTGTGACTTGAGATGATCAAGTCGTTAATAAGAGTACACATTTTAGATATCTTGGGTCTCTTTCAGAGTGACGGTGATATAGATGGTGATATTATTAGTAGAATTCAAGTTGGATAGTTGAGGTGGAGGAATGAATCGGGCTTGCTGCGTGATAGAAAAGTCCCCCTCAAACTTAAGGGAAAATTCTATAAGATGGTGGATAGACCTGCAATTCTATATGGTGCAAAATGTTGGCCATTAAAAGAGAAGCATAATATCAAGTTAAGTGTTGCAGAGATGAGGATGCTCAGGTGGATGAATGGCTTTACTCTTAGAGACATGATAAAAAATGAACATATACGCGAAAAGGTTGGAGTAGCTCATGTGGAAGATAAGATTAGAGAGAGTCGCCTTAGATGGTTATGTCACATAAAATGGCGGCCTTCAGATGACCCGGTTAGGAATGTAGATGTATTAGAATTAACTTGTGTTATGAAGGGTAGAGGCAAACCTAAAAAGACATGGTTAGAAAATATTAGAAATGACCTTTCTTTATTAGATTTAAATGAGAATTTAACTTTTAACAGGGCACAATGGAGAAAAAGGATTCATGTAGGCATGTAGTCGACCCCACATAGTGGAATAAAGGCTTGTTGTTGTTATTGTTGTTGTTGTTGTTGTTGTTGTATCAGCAAATATTTAAATTTTAATGGATTTTTATCAATCTCACTACATTAGACATAGAAATTGATATAATGCAAAATTCAATTACATTAATTTCCACACTTATTACTGATATTATTTCATTCATCTAGCTAATTTTAGTACTAAATTTGGATGCATATCCCAAAGCATGTGAATTTGACTTGAAGATTACAATTTGCTAAACAATTAGGTAATTTTTTGGCTCAATTTGAGCACAACTAAAATCGTTAAGCCAACCAATAAGCCAAAATCAAGCGAAATCAAACATAAATTGAGGTAAATCTAAATTGAATCAAGCTAGCATGTTATTTGATCAAAATGTACCTACGAGTACATATAAATGCATATAAAAATTAAATCATTATTATTTCAATCATGCTAATACAAATTCATGCATCTCTATATGAATGTCACTAGATGCATGGATGTAAATATGGTTTGGACCAAGAAATTGGCTTAGAAGATCCAAAATCAATTTGGTTTTTAGCTTGGATGGAATTCGATCAAATTGACCTGACAAACCAAACGTGGTTTGAGAAGTAGATTTAAGATGCCTATAGCTAGGCTTTATTTAGCTAAAGAGTGTACCTAATGGCATTTATGCAAATAAACTAGAGCAACATTAAGTAAAAGGCATATCATTAAAAGTCCAATCTCTGAATCATAGAAATTGCATAGTGCAATATTATTTAGAAGTTAGTGTTCTTAATTAAATGTTATATATTTGGTTTGATGTAATTTTATTAAAACATGCTAATGTTATCTAAATTAGAATCATTTGGTTCATGTTATTATAAACTCCAATACACTTGGTAAGATTATAATATTCATATGGACCTTGGCATTCCCTTAAGATTCAACTTCTTTTTTATGCTCATTCTCTCCATCTCCCTCATACCAATCCATCTGCTCCATCCTCAAGAGCACGTCCATCCTACAAAATTAGAGCCAATAGGAAAGTAATCACCGCTTTTCAGTGCAAAACAGTTTTCAAAGTTTGTCCACCTTGTATCGACAATGAATGAAGGTCTTGAGGATGGCGGAGCGGCACTCATGAGGAGAAGGGGCACCAGTGAGTGCCATGGAGTATTAAAGGATATCACGACATTAGATGTTAGTTGATTCTAGCAATATCTGAATATCTTTAAAATAGTACATATCAAGCATTTATAAAATGTTATTTCAAGCTGTTAGCAAACTACATTTGGCATCTTTAAATAACATAACATTCATCCCAGAGGTTTCATTTCATTGTCATCTCATTCTTTCCTAGTGCTATCTTAAATTTCTATCTTCTTTTTCAAAATACAACTAATGCTCTTTATCAAGATCTAATGTACGAAAAAGTAGGTTAATAAACTTAGCAGAAATAGAGGCCGATTGCCTAATGCTTTTCTAACCTTGTAATCCAACAGCATCTCGGGCATCTTCTTCATCAGCTCAGAAGTATGAGCCCGCCTAATCAATAAATAGGAAAAGATTAACAAAAGTAAATCAGCGTCTAATAGTGCACCATAGCCAAACCGAACAACAAAAGTACTCCAAATTATTAAAAAAAAACCGAACAAGCGAGATAAGAGAAGCAAACGCACTTCTCAGCAGCAACACGATCGCACTTGTGGCCTTTCCTCTTGTTTCTCATCTCCTTTTTAGGCGGGTCGTAAGGCCAGACCCTAAAATAACATATACACATAAGCGGGCCTATCATTTTCTAAGAGAAAAAAAAAAAACATAAGCAAGATATATGAGGGAGACGAGAAATTACTCTTCGGCAAGGAGAACTTCCTTACGAATGGCGGCGCGCTTGCGCGCACTAAGGGCAAGGGGTTTCCAGGCACCGAGCTCCCAATAACCCCACACACCATTGGAGAGCTCGTCCTTATACCTGGCTAGCTTCTCCTTCCAGGTGAACTGATAGCTCCTCGGCCCTTCTTGAGTTGCCGCCTTCTTGGCGGCCGCAGCTGCCGTTGCGGTAATCGCCGCCGCGGCCTTGCTCGCCTTTTCCAGCATAGCACCTTGGGTCATGTTCAAGCTAGGAATGTCAATATTGATTTTTTTTCAAGGAAATTTTTGGGCACAGCCCTTTTACTAAAAACCAAAAGAAAAATAAAACCAATACAATAGGAAAATAAACTAAAAATAGTTTGCAAAATAAAAATAAAACTATCATTCATTCCCAAGAATGAATGAAAAAAAAACTATGAAAACAACATAATGCCAACACGGCATTAAAGATGACATATCACAACAGGAATACCAAACTGAAATCAAAGCTAATCTCAGTCACAATAACTGAGGCTGATGCAGAGAGCTGGGCATAGAGGTTCATAGCATACTCAAATATGGGCGTGGAATGAGCCCGAAATTAGCAATGAAAGCAAAAGAAACATGTCAATCAGCATCCAATCAATAATAAGTTCCAACCCGGCAGTCCCATGTGCAACACCACCAAGAAGAAACCTCCAGCATTGTCCAGAATTTATAAAACCTTAGCAATCTCCTAGGAAAGAAATGAAATCCTTCCTCAGAATAGCCAGATATCAAGCAACAGAGGAATAGAACAACTAAGGATATCAACAACGACTGAGTTGCAACAGAATCAGCCAAAATTTGGTACTCAGCAAGATTACCCAATGTAAGCTCCATAATCGTACCATCAGATTTTTCTCCAGCATTAGATCATCAACTCATCAACGAATCATCCATCCAAAAAAAGAAGAAAGACCAAATCAGTATAGAATAATTGAAAAACCTATTGAAGATCCTCATAATTCTACCATTGAAACCAAAGGAAAACCTAAGAGGGGACAGTACCTTCATGCTATACAATGGAGAGAACGAATTTAATAAAAAACTCCATCAATCAGCAAGTAAAATAAGGGTAGAAAAAAGTAACCAAAACAAACAATCTTCCCAAGTGGCAGCAACGACCAAATGGCAAAGATACAGCAAAAAGATCCCAGAGAACTAGTCCAGTGAAAGCTCCAGAAAAACAACCCCACCCGAACACACCCCAGTAGCAATTTAACATAACCACAAACCAACCATAAGAAGAAGAAAAACCAAATAAGTAAAGGATATTGGAAAAAACTTTCTGTAATTCCTCAAAATTCTTCCATTTTAGGACTTTTATTTTAACATCTTTTTAATAGAATAGCAAAGAGCCGAGGGAGAGACCCATTTGCCAGTAAACTGCCTTTTGTTTCTTTCAATCCAAATAAAATAAACCATAGATGAAATAACAAAATGAATGATTTTTTTCTATTTGTTAGTAAAATCATGAATAAGATCAAAATAATCCAATAACTGCAATAAATTGGGCCTCATAAAAAAAATTTCCATATGATGAAGAAGATTAGAAATAACAGAAAAAGAGTAATCACACTCAAAAAATAGGTGATTATGGTTCTCCATCTCATAATGGCAAAAAAAGCAAGAAGAATTGACTGCAATGTTCCTCTTTAATAACAAGTCAGCCGTTTTCAATGTTTCCAGAATAGTCCTCCAAGTGTAAATTGAGAATCTGATAGCATGACCTTTGAACCAAATAAATTTATGCCATTGAGTATCAGATAAATTCTCATAATAGCTAGCCAAGAATAAATCATGGGTCGGGTTTGGTAAGCCATCTCAGAGCATCATCGGTTGCTTACCAATAGGAATTTTTTAAATTTCATCCAACACAATTCTAGGCAGATCATATGTGTTCCTCCAATTATTCTGAGAAATATAATTTTTAACCGGAGCAAAGGGTCTAGGAGGGGGATTAATAAAATCAAAATTAGCTTGGCCATTACACCAAGGATCCCAAATAAAACAATAGGTTACTATTAGTATCAATATGTAAGATAATTTTGTTCTTAATCTTTCCAGCAACTTCGCAGATAAGTTTCCACATTTTAGAAGCTCCCACAGGAGGAGGCTTCCAAGAAGAAGAGAATTTTCCTCTATACCATAAGGCCAAACCACTATCACGGGAGAGAATTCTCCAAATAAGAGAGCAGATAAAACTAAGATAAAGAGCCTTAATCAAAGGTAAACCCAGTCCACCTACAGCCTTAGAGGTGCAAACAGTGGACCAGGCAAATGTATGTAATTTCCTTTCATTGGTTTTGCCATGAAAAAGAAACCTAGAGCACATTCTCTCAATAACATTGCAAAAGCTTTTAGGTATTATAACTCCCCTAATCTAATAAGCTAAAGTATTAGCTATAAAGAATTTGAGAAATTGAATTTTGCCGGCCATTGATAAAAATTTAACTTTCCAACCATCCAGTAAACTAGAGATTTTGTTAAGAAGAGGCTGAAAATAAAAAGCTTTTAGCTTGTTCAAAGAAATAGGCAAACCAAGATAGATAATATACTGTGCTGAGTTATCAATCCCCAAAATGTTGCAGATTTCCTCTTGCTGGTTACAGAGATCAGCAAAAATGATGGGACTTTTATGTGGGTTAATACGAAGTGTTGAAGCTTTAGCAAAATTATTAAGAATAATCTTGAGATTGTTAACATTGTTAATAGAATTCTCACCAAAGATAATAACATCATCCGCATAAAGTAAAAGCTTAAATTCATGCCCATTAGAGACAATGCCTTTAAAGTGGTAATTATGATTGTCATGTAACCTACAAGAAAGAGCATCCATCACAATGCTAAAATGAAGAGGAGAAAGTGAACAACCTTGTCTAAGCCCAAACGTGGATTTAAAAAACCCTTCAAGCGAGCCATTTAAACATATGGAAAAATGGACATTATTAATACAACCTTTAATCCATCTAATAAACTTCTCAGGAAAACCTTTCATCCTCATACGATTTATAATAAAATCTCTGGATAATCAAATACATGTAGATCCCGAAAATGGTTTAGAGGAAGTTATAATGATGGATCACAAATTCTTTTTCTATTTGTTCGGGATCTCATATCAAATATCATATTTTTTTATTTTGATTTTGTTTTACATTTTTAGTTTTTTTTTTTTTAATACTTGATATTTTTATAATATTACTGAAATTAAGTTTTATATGTCGTCTAATAGTCTTAATTGGTCAAATATTTCAGTTATTTATTATCATGAAAGAATATGCACAAAAAATTATTTTGGATCAAAATGACCACGCTTAATGTATTCATGAACTAGTTATAGAAATACGTCACAAGCAAAATTAATTCAAGCTGGATAACATTTGAACATTAATTCAAAACATCTTACGATAGTGTCTCAAATCTAGTTTGAAAAATATTTGAACCAAATTCGATGAAGCTTTTAACCTAAACAAGCAAAATTCTTGTTAGATTCGAGCTCGTTTTTAACCAAGTTTGAATTGAGTCCAAAAAATATTTGAACCAGGTTCAATCATTATTTGAATATTGTTCGAACATGATTCGAATAAGGATCAAACATTGTTCTAATCAATTTTGAAGTTCATGTAGCCGATATTACATCACTTTTAATATTTTTGTGTGAGTATAGCCAATCAATAATTTTAAACTATAAATTTCCTTAAACGGATCCACTCACCAACATCATATTAGACAAAATTTTGAGCATCATCTCAATATGAAATGATATTATTTTGGCATCAATTACAATTATATATTACAACTCTAATAAAGAAGTTAAAGAGAAGCCATCATAAAGTAGAGGACACTTGAATTTACAAGTAACTCATCCTGCATACACTACACCTAATTTGGTCACATCCTTCCCTTCTTTAAAAGGCCTTCAACTTTTTTAGAGATGTACTATTCATCTCTAATAGTGGAGATAGCATAATAAAATTATTTATTTCATTTTGAACCTCCCATGTATTCTTATTTTTTTTCGAACATATATTTTCAATGTATGCACTCAACATGCTTATTATTTGTAAAATTTTGAGCATAAGCTATAATAACTAATGCCCCAATCTCAAATTATTCACACAAGGGCCAAACACATCAAATATTTCATATGTATATACTGCATCATGCAAATAAGTATTATTGTTAAAACCACCATCAAGGACATGCAATTAAAATTGGCTAATATAAAGACTATAAAGGTTTGAACTTTACTTAGTTGCTTGCTTAATATTTCTTCAAATTTCTTTACCAAAGTGGGATTTGTGTTCGCTACAATGGTGGACTTATTAAAGAACTATTGATGCATTATGTGTTTGAAGAAATCCAAAAAATGATTACTTAATAGAAATACACATGCATGGTAACATCATTAAAGATCTGTAAAATATTAATTTTGATACGTTGCATGGATTCCCAGGGAAAAAATATGAGTCAATCTCTCAAAGATAACTTTATTCTCTTAGTAAATAGCTATGATAGGTTCTTCATCTTTTAATTCAAAGTATCAATAGAACTCAACTCCCCTATAAACTTTGGAAGCCAAATGATATTCATCATGACAAATATCAACTTTAAACCTCACTATAATATTCATTACAATATGATGTCTGCAAGCTTTATGAAGTGCCTTTGGAAAATTACAGATAAAGCACTAAAGAAATTATTATGTACATTAGATGAAAACTCTAATTTTTTTGTCGTATATGTTGACACCCTCAATCTAATAATGAAAAACATCTAAGAATCATTATGTTTAAGCCCACAATTGTACATGTTACACAATAAATCTAAAATACCTCGATAATGTGTATTTTGAAATATTTAATCACACTGAATAATGGACAACATGCACATTTAAAGCATTAAATGCAAACACTTAAAAAGAAGTAAACATATTTAAAATAGTATGAAGTGTCAAAATAGAGATCAGCTATTGTCCATGCATTCATCGAATTTAGCATAATTAGATATTATCATACCCTAAGATCTAATTTTAAAGAATTAATTCTTTAATATCTTCTAATTAACTACCAAAGCCACAGATAAACATCCATATATATATATATATATATATATATATATGATAAACACAAGCAATCTTTCATTTCATTTATAATTAATATATATACATTTACATTTCAATCTTAAGAGAATCTTATACATTAGCCATGAATACATCATTCAAATCATTACATCCTTCACACATTCATGACTATAAAAAATTAAA